TAAATGAGAACTAAGTACTTGTGGCTCACTGATGTAGTTCTCAGTGTTTGCAGCTGGAGGTCTCACTGGTGTTTAATGAACATTTGCCCTCTTGACTGCGGAGCTTTTGTGCCCGGGTTGTAACCAGCATAGCCACTCCTTCTGCCTACTGGAAATCTGCAGGAAGAATTAGCAGTTAAAGCTGAGCATGGGGGTCTTTGCACAATCTGCCCCGCGTGCTAGGGCATAAGTGGAGGATTCCAGGGAGATTTGTGGTTATGTACGCAATGGTCAGGAGCAGGTTCGGTCTCTGCAATATGGTACTTGATGAGAGATTTCTAGTGACCATCCCACATGTTATGTAGCATTTGCCACTGACTGTGGTTTTCAGGGTAAGGCTTCTTCCATTACTCTGCATGGTTAGCTGCAAAACGCCATTCTGGGCGAAAGACTGTATTGCTCTGAAATGTTTGACTAACCACACATACATACACAAAGTACGTGGGCCTTAGCTTCTCCAAACCAGGCATCCAAACTTAGTGGTGAACTCAGTAGTAAACTCTGCCTGATCTTCAGTAGTGTGACAGCCTCTGCTTAGTGCACTTCATGCACTTAACAACCATCGGGGTTTTTAGCTGGTTCTTCTGGTAGATCCCCCATGGCACTTAAATGTTTTAGAAGTTCTTGGTATCTCTCAAAATCTAGGTTGTAGTGGCACAGTCATAAATCTGCTTTTTGGTAATTTTGCCTCCATACCATCTTACTTGAGTACATATTGCGAAGTAAATCTATGTCTTTAAAGGACATAAGAGTTGCTGCAATGAGAAGCATAGGAAATCCACACCTAAGTTTGGAAGTTTGTATTTGACCAGTTTGAAGTACACAAGGCGTGGGCTGAATGCTAGTTAAAAGTAAAATGCCAACTAACTTGTTTGTCTCTAAGTATATCTATATATTATGCTTCTGTTAAGAAGGAAAAAAAAATAATAAAGGCTTCTCCCCAACACAGGTTTAGTGTTTGGTCTATCTACTTCTCATTTCTTTGGTCTTGAGCAGCATGTCGGTCTGGCAGCAACTGCCCTGCGGTGAAGTGGGTTGTTGCTTGCTCTGGAGGGAACTGTCTGTCAGGGTAGCAAAGCAAAACCTGTTTCCATTTCCTCAGAGATGCTGCAAACTATCTTCCCTTCAGAGCAGTGAGTTACAAGATAGGTCTTGCTCTGTTGGAAAGATACCCATTTCCATTCCCACTAAATTTAACTTAATGTCTGGAAACTTAGTTGAATCCAGCTGACTGATGAACTTCATACTTAGCTGAATCCAGACTGATTTGAAAAAATGAGTTTGGGCACCTGTTCTTAAATATCTGAAAAGTTTTGAGCATTCCTCCCTAGTTTTCTTCAAATTTCTAGAGGTTATGAATATAGGGGGACTTTGTTATTTACATTGAAGGACTTGGAATGTGGCTTGCTTTTTACATTTATTAATTTAAGTGATAATTTTAATAAGATATTAATATATATATTAATTTAGACAAAGTCTACTTACAGTCTGGTCCTTCAGGTGCTGCGTGCCTCTCTTTAATACCACACATGTCCTTTTATTTCAAGAAGAGCTGAATGATACTCGAATGAGGTCATCATATTGTGTTTCTTATTGTCATGGATTCTCTTTGCGTGCCTCATCAGTTTATTTTGTTCTCTTTGTAATCTTCCCTTATTCAAAGCAACTCTGGTGGAGAATACTTTACCACTGACTTATGAATTTCTCTTCCTTCCTGGGTAAGAGAAACACAGGTAAGATAACATCCAAAAAAAGTTATAATTTGAGGGGGGTTGTTATTGCTGTCACCAAAGTTAAACAAGTCAGTTAATAGATTCAGAGCCTAGTTAAATATACCATAAATTCTCAGTTGTGTAAAGCATTTTGGAGAAGGGGGCTGTTTGAAGTGTGAATTAACATAGCCTCCCATATATTTTGATCAATAGCCCAGACACACCACATATATCAAATGTCTTAGCGGTAGGAAAACCACATTTTGCTTGTCCAAGTTTTGTGGTAGTCTCCCAAAACCTGTTGACTTGATATTTTTACAAATTTGGTACCATCCACGTAGCAGGACAGATCAGGGCTAAGCCTCCATGGTGGCATATATGGGGAATACCGGGAAAACAGATGTGAATTGGAACTTAAGTGTATTTATCCCCAGCAAGAAAACAAAATGTGACTAGGGCAGTCCATGGTAATAGGATGAGGAAATGCAGGACTTGTTATTAGAAATCAGGGAGCTGTTACGAGGTTGTGTTTCTCCATCTCAGCTTGATCCTACGTGAATGGGTGGGTGGACGTCAGCCCTTCTCTGTTTGTGGCATGAGGCTGCCTATGCACGTGTGTATATACACTGTATATGTCTGCCGGAGTGGATTGTGTGTTTCTCTGTGGCTGTGATTTTACCCATTTTGTGTGTGTGTGTGTGGTGTTTATATGGCTCTCTGCCAACTTTCTATGAAATTATCTGTTAGAGCTTTTCCTGTGGCCCTGATAGCTCTTTGGTTTTGGGTTTGGGAGGGATGGATGAAACACCAGGAGGGCTGGGTGTTGAAAGTCAAGTCAAAAATGATCAAAAAGGACTGGCTTTTATCACTTTCTTGTGAAATTGCAAATTGCTTTCTGATCTTTTAGAAATATTTCCTTACAAATGTCTTCGGGAATTATCAGGTATGAGGACGGAAATGTAATTTTAGTTTATTTAAGGCTGCACAAAGACAGAAAAAAGGAAATGCTGTGAAGAAGGCAAACTTTTATTTTCATTCCTTACTCCTTACAAAGCTGAATGCAGAAAAAAAGTGATTTTAATTCTGAACTTAGTTTTCTGAAATCAAGCACTAATAAAATTGCTCCCAGCTTCAAAACCAGTAAATGTGAGCTCATCTGAAGCCTGAGTCAGACCAAATGTCACGCTCTGTAGAACAGTTCAAAATCCAGTCTTGGGGGCTGATATGTCATTTCAGTTGTTACTTAAAAAAAAAAAATAAAAAAAAATTAAAAGATCAGTAGTAATCCCCTGAAGTGAGAGGTCATTAGATAAGAAAAAAAGAAAAAAAAAAGAATCTGCCCTGTGAGATAGGATTAAACCTCTGAAACAATTCTAAGGTTTCAGCTGTGGAAAAAGACGTAAATTAAGCTACTCTTCATAAGATGCTCTGTTTAATATAATACAAGCCCTAACATTAGGACACATTGCTAGCAGTCACACGTCGATAGACAGACAACATTTTGAAAAACTTACCCAAGGTGGTGTGGTTCATGGAGTATTCCCTGCAGAGAGCTCCTGAGCCCCCAGGAGGGCTTCTGCTCACTGAAAGGGAGCAGGAGCACTGGGGGCCAAAAGAGAGCCTGACTCCTCCTTGGTATTTCTTGCCTTAGCAACTTCTTTTTTTCACAGCTGTTAATTTAGAAGAAATGAAATTTCAGGTGAGCATTTCTTCTTCTTCATCTCTTCTGCTGTGGAAAGAGGTAGAGTAACCAGAAAGGATTGATAGCTCAGAGAAGGGGAGGGGGGAAAACATGAAAATTCTCTGTACTGTTCCCAGACAAGGTAGTGTTTGTACATGAACATATGGGACAGCAAGAAGGCTGCTCCTCTCACCATCTTCTGTTCCCTCCACCCCACTTTCGCATGTCCAGGGGAAAGACAAGGGCTTGCAGCTCTCCACTGCAGTACACAAGTGCCCCATGGTGGTGTTCTCTGCACTAAGCCTTTTGCAGGTAACTGGGAAAAGTTAAGAGCTGGGTTCTCTAATTTTTGCACTCTGTGCCCCTGTTTACCTTCCGTTTTCTGAAACGCAGTGTTTTGGTGCAGCGGCGGGGGGATGCAAGGGCCTTGGAGCGTGTGGGTGTAGGTAGTAGCACCTGGATGTTCCACAGCACTCGGGCGTGTGCTCATGCCAAGGAAACTGAGCAGATGAATACAAATCCAGTCTCTCGAGTTGCCAGCGGCACTGAGAAGCGTCACGTTTAGGAGTAGTGCAGTGCACCATTAGTGGCTGGACATGCCCTTTACCTGGGCAGTGGGCTTTGCAGGCTCGGGCATAAGGTTAGGCAGGATTTGTCTGCCAGCCCCATACTTCCACAGCGCTGCAGGACTAACGCGCTTTGCGCTTCTGAGCGTTTCAGGGAGCCGGAGCACGCTTCGGGTTCAGCAGCGCAATTTGGGGAGCCCGTGCGGAAAGCCTGCCGGCACCCGTCCCCTTCGGCGAGACTTTACCTCCACCTCGGGGCTGGATCTCGGAGCGGCAGCGAGGTGCCACTGAGAGCGTAGCACGCGTGTCTGGGGCTGTGCGTGGCCGTGGGCCCCGGGCAGACCCCGGCCGGGGAGAGGGGGACCCCCTCAGGCTGGGGAGAAGGTGGACTCTGGAGAGGTGAGGGCCGGGGGGGGGGAGGACGGACACACGACACGGAGGGGTCGCAAGTCGCTGCGCGGCGTGTCCCTCCTCCGGGCTGGGGGGGGGGGGCAGGGAAACCCGCCGCCAGCGCGCAAAAAGATAAGGGGGGGGCAGTAAGAGGCTGCCGGAGAGCCCCGAGTGCGAGGGGCAGCAGCGCAGGAATCCCGCCGGGGGGGGTCTGCCCCTCTGGCCGTGTGCAGGCGTTCCCGCGGGGCTGTGGGGGGGTCAGCCCCGGGGCTCCCTCCCCCGGCCCGGCCCGGCCCGCCCCGCCGGCGGATGCCCGGAGCCCCTCGGCCCGCACTGGCCGGGCTGGAGGAGGAGGAGACCGGGCGCTTTCACTCCTGCTGGCTGCAGAGGCTGAGGCAAAAGACAGAAAAAGGAGGAGGGGAATAAAAAGTAAAGGGGGGGGGGAGAGAGAGCAAGAAAACTAAGCCCAGCTTTTGCCGGTGCTGCTTGGATTGGATCTGGTTTGAGTTTCCTCTCTGCTGGCTTGTGCAGCAAGGGAGGAGGAGTGGGGGGAAGTAACTCTCTCACTCTGCCTCTGAAGCTTAAGCAAACGTGCTGGTGCCTGCACTGGTGGGGAGCTGCCCTGGGTGCAGTTGCCTCGTAGCTTATTGCTCTCAGTTACTAAAGAATTGCTTGGACTTCTCGAGGACCTGGAGGAAAAAGCCATCACTTCACAGACCCGATAGTTGCTCAGTGCCTATAGACTTGACACGGTTTTTTCCTAGGGGATTCTTTTTAAAATTATTTTTCTCCCGTATCTCTCAGAACAGCAGTTCCTTGAGTGTGTGGCGTTGAAATCCATTGCTTTGTTAACAACTTTGGGAGATATTTTTAAAAACTTTTTTTTCCTCTCTTTTGTTTTCTTTGCTTTAAAAAAAAGAAAAAAGAAATAATCCTTTTGGGGGGAGGGGAGATGATCGTGCTGATGTGGAATAAGTGCTCCTGCTGTCTCCTCTTACTAGCCGCGGTCCTGATCGTGGAGAGCTCCCAGCTAGACAGCTCCAGCTCCAAGGTGAACTCCATCAAATCCACCCTGACGGGGGAGGCTCCAACTCAGGCAACCAACAGATCTGCAGGCATCCACCAGGGACTGACGCTTGCTAGCAGTAAGAAGGGCAAAATGCTAGAGCAGATGGGAAAACCTCCCAAGCACTATCACCGGCAAGGAGAGGTAGGACATCGCTTCATTGCTCGAGTGTCTGTCCGTCTGTGTGCTATATGCAAATAATGGCTAGTCTTCCCCTCACGTTGTTTTCGAAGCTTTACTGTGTTAAATTAATTAATTTATTTCATTGGGGTTGTCTAGGACAATATAATCTCATAATTGGTGTTAACAACTGTGCAAGTGGGATTTGGAAGGTTTTAAACATCTCATTTTTCTCTGTAGGATTACTAACTGATGGAAGAAAGAGTTATCTAAAAATGTATCTTCAGCATTTCTTTGTTTGACTCCTTCAAAGGGCTGCTAGAAGTAAAGGAAGAAATTTCTTAACTCTCAGACAGTAAATGAATTGAATTTGAATAGGTGAGGAAAATTTGAGCATGAAGTGAAAACTGTGTTTACGGCAGTGAAACAAACTTGGTTTTAAAAATCACACCTAGCAAGCTGATGTCTGATATCTTTCTCCATGGTGACAATAAAAAAGCATACTGTCCTGGAGCTATAGTTTAAGGCACATATATTTGCTTAATATGACAGAAAAGAAATTCTAGGTTTCTTGTCCAGAATTCGCTCCAGTGGTTGTGGAAGTTTTGTTTGGTTATGTCCAGTTGAGATAAGCAGGGATTGAAAGCCCTGAATAGGAAATTTGAGTGTAAGGAAGAAAGAAAAGGTTATAGAAACTTTAGGGGGGGGGGGGGGGGAAAAAAAACGCGCCAGCT